TGGCAGAACTATATCTACTACCCATATTTCTTGTAAAACATTCCCGTGATTCACGATGAAAAGGCATAGATACTGACAACACAGAGCTGGCACACAAAAGTATTTGACGTTAAGTTAGTGAAAGTGTGAGGGGCAGTTATCCCAATTGATCTGATCTGTGAAAATATAAATAATGATTTAACCAATGATTGGTTAGAGCCAGTATTGCTTTTTTTTAAATCCAATATTGTGATTAATCGCAAAGTACTTTATATAGTTTATATTGAAACAACGTCAGACATTGCTCCATTTTTTCAAAGATTATTTAAATTAGTTAACATTGTGTACTGCCCAACACAGTTGGATAGTAACAAATACTATGAACTAAAATATATGAAAGTTAATTATACTTAATACCATTACACTTAACAGGTGGTCTGGTGACACTAACACAAAGGTGCCATGGACGGTTATTAAAACCCCAAATTCCTCGCACATAACAGTAATATCTAGTTCCGCACCGACAAAAGTTAAGTGATCGCTCAAAGTAGAATTCAATAAATTCGACTGGGATGTATTATATTATGACTATTTTGGCCCTCAAAAGGCACGAACAAATAACATAAGCATCGACAATTTACTAGCACAAATAGCTGAGAAAAAAGAAAACACCTGGCAGTGAGGAAGAAAGAGAAAACCTGGTACTCAGTGGCGCCGACAAAATTGTTGCTGCGAACAAAAAAATGTTCAATAATAATTTAAGTCCCGGATTTGTTTACAAAGACCCAGAGGCCATCCATTGTCGGTATGAAGTTCTAGCTTCTGGTAATGTCCATATAAATAATATACTGTGCAAAGCAATTGGAAAAAAGTAATAAAACTATAATCTGTATGCTACAGTCAGCTTCATATTAACATAGTATGATTACGGTAAAATGATGAACTGAGTGGAAATGAATCATGGTGAATTGCCAGAATGTTTTATTTTCTCATTTTATTTTATCACAAAATAATGATACTAAACTAAATTGAGAAGAGCTCTTCCGAACAAGGTTGATACTCGCCAACAGGGCGAGTAGAGGTTTTGACCTGAATGGGTCAAGGAGTTCCTGCTGTTGTGTTAGATAGGAGGTTGCCGTGAAATATATTGTGGGTGACACTGAATGAATCCTTGAGCATGGTAAAGCATTACGAAGAAGCAAAGCAAAAGCATGCATGGTGAAGAGGATGGAGGTAATGTGAACTTGTGGGCAGCGAAATCGATATTTACTGAGGCATGGCTAAAGACGTGAATGACCGAGACAATGATACACACACAAATAAGCTAGGAAAATACGTAAAAATAAACGAGATACAATAGGCTGAGGGCAAAACGGCCAGAATCCGGATTAGGCCCAGGACATTTTACAAAATCGAAAAGCCAAAACCCCACTTTATAAATTCTAAACTATCTACACAAACAATAGATGTTATGACGTAGGACGTAAGTTGTCCCGCTTTGAGTGGTCTCAGTATGGCGCCCTTTACAATAACAATAATTTTTCGATTATATTGTAATAATAAGACCAGACTTTTTTTATTCCTTGTTTCTCGAGTTTTTATAAGGCAATTCTTTTAAGGAGGGCGGAAAATAAATAAAATTAATTCTTTTTTTCCATTAGATTTGTGTGATTCTCAGAGAATTGTAAGTGAGATCATTGACCGGAGAGAAGAAATGAAATAAAATTTTATTCCATGTATAACCTTGTTTCTCATCTGCGCGAGACTTCAGTACTTTGATCATGGTACTCCCACGAAAATGCAACTTGGGTTTCTTATGCGGCGGGCGGAAAAAAGTAAATATAAAAATAAGTTTTTTTTTAACATTTTTTAACTTAAAAATCGGCGGCGCGAGAAATTACGCTGAAATATAATTTTATTTTTATTTCATTTTTGGCTCCTGTTCATCCGGCGGGTTCGCCAATCAAGGGAAAATAAAAGTCTGGCCTTACTTAAACAATTTTTTGGCTGCCTTAAATATTCTCTTGTAAATACTAGGATTTGAAATATTGCTAGAAATGTAATTATGGAATAATATAATGAAAAGGAAACAACAAATTTTGCTATCAGATATTATTTTTGGAAATATTTGTCAAATCATTCCAGCAGCTAAAATAATATTGAATATTTTATTATACTATGTCCTAAACTCAACAGAACCTTTCAGAATTAAAAATAAAAAGCGAGCTAGCCTAATTTAATTTCATTGTAATTTAATGTCCGAAAAGTCCTGTTTATTTTACTATTTCATGCTGGTGCCAGTGGTTACATTGCAAAAAAAAACTTGAAAAGTCTAAATATAATCGTATCTAATATTCCATATCTCATAAAAAATATACAGTGGCGCAGTGGTTCGGTTATTGTCTTTTACACACTGGTCATACCTCTGATTCTCCTGTTCATGTTGGTCCTGGTTGGCTTCTACCTACCAACATACGAAATACGCAGATCACATTTTATTATTTCCGATGTGTTGAAATTGTCAGTGATCACCTGAAAACCTAGTCATGTGAACTAAACGCATCATCTTTACATAGGATCACAGGTCAAATAATGTAGTATGGGCTTTAACAACTTTCTTAGTTAATTTAGCTATGCAAGAATGTGAATGTAAACACAAAGTTGATCACAATCGGATACCATTTTTAATACATTTATTCTTAATGCAGCATTTTTGGATCAAATATATGTTATATACACAAATTTGTTTGTCAGAGGGAATTTATACTTAAGTAGACACAATTATTTCGAAACATTTAATGCATATGTCACACGCAACGTAATATTACCGTAATTGGTATAGTACAGG